TCACACGGACGAACGAGGGAGTGCTCAAAGAGCGGCTCCCACAGCAAGGAGGGGCCCCGTGAATTATCGCGATGCCCCCTACCAAACGGTAATCTTACCAGTCTGAGTGACACAAAATCATCCAGCACATGTATCCAACACCAATGTTCGCAGACCCACGAACATCCATCCCTAACCCTAACCCTACTGTAAATAAATATACTCTTAACCCTTTTTGGTCTACAGACGTCCTGACAGATATTGATTGATCATTTGTAAATGCTGGTGTGGTGGCATGCCACGGAGTTGCCGCCCTGTATCCCTCCACGCCAGGTGTATCTTAATTATCAGCCTGACGGCACTAACCGGTGACCAATACAAAGACAATTACCGTTTGGTCTCTGGAACGGCCAAAAATCGAAAAATGTACAACGCGCTAAATGCAAATGCCTCAATGAATCTTTCCCCATAACCTTTCACAAAGACACACACCAATAGCTCCACATACATGCCCTCACCGAATCTAGGAAGCCACTAAAACTAAGAGCGGAGGGCAGCAAACAATGGCCATTTCAAGCCAGAATATCGTGGTATGCTGCATATTCTCCAAATTTGAAAATCGAACACTCCCAAGATCCAGCAGTCATCGTGTCAGCAGCTAATCTACACAGCAGCAGTATATACGAGCCCAACATAGCATAGTAGCACATACACTATCATCATAGCCCCACACATTCCTTCCTTCCCCCCCCTCGGCCTGCTCCCCGGCCGGGGCCGAAATCGACCTACTGAGTCCCTCGCGGGCGAACCAGGCCACAACAGATAGTAGGCGGGTGGTGTCCCAAGGCGCAACTCACCGCCGCGCTGGCTCAGCGTGGCGGTGAGGATGCACAGACGGTGGTAGTGGCGAGAGGTGTGTATGGACACTGTTCCCGCGGCAGTAATGCAAAGCGGCAAACTGCACCTGGCAACCACCGTCGCGGAAAGCGTGGCCCACGAAGCTGGAGGAGTAGAGAGATTCGTAAACACCACGTCAGTAAGCACCGCTCGCGGGAGAAGGGAGATAACCGCGGGCACCGCGGGCACCGCGGGGAGGGAGTGCTACATCCTCCTCGTCAAAACACCACAGGCAAGAACCGAGCTCTGCAGAGATGGATCGATGCGAGGAAAGTCGCCGCTCGGAAAATACGGATGAAAGCACACCCGCAACGCGAGGTGGACCGAGTGAGACACGAGACCGCAGCGGCCGTCAAGGCGGCTGCGAAGAAGAAGGCACGAACGGGCGACCTATCGTTCGGCACGTTCAACGTACGCAAGCTCGCCTACAGCGGTAGGAACCCCATCGGTCACTACGTGATGACGGTCATGCAGATTTGTTCGGCGACCGGCTGTGTTGTGATAGGACTTCAGGAGACCCGACGAGAGGGGCAAGGTTCAATTGCACACGACGGGTACGTGATCATCTGGAGTGGCGCCCGTGCTGGCACCAAGGACAAGAGGGGCGTACACGGTGTGGGCATTGTGATCAAGGAGGCCATGTGGGAGAGTGTGGGCGAGGAAGGTAGGACGGTGGAGTGCATTAGCCCGAGGCTGATGAAGGT